ATGCATGATATTATCCCTTTGTCAAAACCCATAGAACTCGGCCAGGTGTGGTGGCTCACACCTGTAATGCTAGTACTTTGGGAGGCCAAGGCAGGTGGATCGCTTGAGGTCAGGAGTTCGAGACCACCCTGGCCAACATAGTGAAACCCCTTCTCTACTAAAAATACAAAAATTAGTTGGGTGTGGTGGCACATGCCTGTAATCCCAGCTACTAAGGAGGCTGAGGCAGGAGAATCATGTGAACCTGGGAGGCCAAGGTTGCAGTGAGCCAAGATTGCATCACTGCACTCCAGCCTGGGTGACAAAGCAAGACTCCACCAAAACAAACAAACAAACAAAAAATTCCATAGGACTATACAATACAAAGAGTGAACCCTAATGTAAACTGTGGACTTTAGTTAGTAATAATGTGTCAGTATTGGTTCATGAGTTGTAGCAAGTATACTACACTGTGCAAAGTGTTAGTAATTGGGGAAAACCATGTTTTATAGAGAGGGGACAAGAGGCTGGGTAAGGACCATTATGAGAGCTGTGTACTTTCTGCTCAATTTTTACGTAAACCTAAAACTGCTCTAACAAAAATAAAGGCTACTGTGAGAAACAAAACAAAAAACAGCATCCTTTTAGCCATGAGATATACTACAAGTACAAAGTTTTCTAGGAATTTCATGTAATATCTTTAAAAATTACACGAACTTTTCATCCTATTACTTAACACATAGATGGGTATTTTGACATTAAAAATGTTCCCCCAAATTTCCACAATATAATACATAACCCCTAGATATATGATTCTTGTATTAAGTAGCATGGCTTTGGCTGGGCACAGTGGCTCACGCCTATATTCCCAGCAGTTTGGGAGGCTGAGCCAGGAGGATCACTTGAGCCCAGGAGTTTGAGACCAGCCTGGGCAACTTAGTGAGATGCTGTTTAAAAGAGAGAGAGAGTGCTGGAGAGAAAAGAAAGAAAGAAGCATGGCTTTGTTTGATAGGAAGTCATTGAAGTTGTATGTTAAAAATGAAACAAAGAAAAATTAAACCAATAAAATCATGAGCAACGAATTTCTCTCACACTCCAGATATTTTTGCATCCTTATTTTCATTTCCCAGTATTTATACAGAACATATCCACTATCTTTAACTCACTTCATCAGCCTTTATTCTGTATGCAGAAAACTTTGCAATAGCATAGTGAGAAATAGGTAATAAACCCACCTTTGTGGATATTGACAATGTAGGCAAGGGAAATATAGTTTAATATGAAAATAAGTTATACTAAGAAAAGTAGATACAGAAATGAAAATTAAGCCTACCAATGAGATAGACAAAGAAAATGGAATGACTTGGGTTAGACAGATTTGGATGAATTTTGCAACAGAAGACACAGTTGGATGGGTGCCCTGTCTTTAGGAGCAGACTTTTTTCTTGATGTCATTGAGACCTAGAATGACCTTTAACTATCACCAGTGCACATTCCCCTTTTTGGTGTGCAGTGTTGACACTGAAACACAGATAACTTAAGGTTGTTTGGATACTTATTTAAGTAGATAGACACGTGAACCCATACGGTGCCTAATTAGGCCTCTTGAAACCACAGATGCACATTCACAGAACTACTCTCGTTTTATTTTCAAGGCATTTTATCTTGTGAAGATCACAGCTGATATCTTCAATCTCATATAAAAGTTTGCTTTGGAGTGAATTTCTTAGCAATCCGCTTGCTAAGAAAAAGCAAGTGATATTAAAGTGAGGGCATTAAAATAAAATAGCTCCAAAAAATGATAAATAAATAAAAGGAAAGAAAAAGGAAAAGCAAGAGGCCCATTCACAGATACACAGAGGAGAGTGGCCCCTCCTCCATAAGCCTTTTTCATCAGTGAGAGAATCAAGAGAATTCTGTATATACAGAAGAGGGTTTCAGGGTCAGTCTTGAGTTTGAATTTCCTACTTCCTAGCTAGAGAACCTTGGGCAAGTCACTTTACTTCTTTGGTCCTAGCTTGCTTATCTTTGAAGTGGGAATAATATTTCAGATTATGCAGAAGAAAAGGTAGGCAGTACCAGGCATATGGTAAGTGCTTGATCAATACCAGTTTGCTTCCCACCTTCCCTGCTCCTTCTGCTAAAACTTCACAGCCATCTCATTAAGTCATCAATGTATTTAGTATTTAATAAATATTTAATGAGCACCTACTATGAGTCAAGTCCTTTGTTAGCCAGTGGTGATATGATTGCAAACAAGAAAGATACCCCTGTGATTTGAGGAGCCCTCTTTGTTGAACAGCTCATCTCTGTCTCCAGTGTGATCAGTCCTGAATTAACACAGCTCTCCACTGGTGTTTTTGACCACAGAGTTAACATTTAAAATATTTGTGACTGCTTTTTTGGCACCACTTTGAATAACGAACTGGTTTCAGGTAAACAGAGTCCAGGTACCTATTGCAGAAAGATTTCCAGTCTACTCACTCGGTGGCTCACAAGTTCACATGAAGTACTTAGCACCAAAAGAGTTTTGTTGCACTTACTGTGACAATAAATCATGTTTAAAAGAAAATGCATGTGGTATACGTGATCTTGGGCAGATGATTCATGAAACTCACTATTCTGTGGCTTTAGAATCCATATAAGTATTTTTCTTTTGTCTTTTACGTGTTTTCTTGTTTCTCTGTTTTGTTTTGTTTTTGTTTGGGGGTGGTTTAAAATTAATGCTGGGCTAGGTCTGATTTTGTTACTCGCAGGTATGACCAAATGTTTCCGCATATCTCTCTAACCTTTCTATTTTCAATATGGGGCAAACTTTCTCCTCTTTAAGAAAAGGTGCATCCACAGAAAAGATAATTATTTGAGCAATTTTTCATAATACAGAAGTAATAATTGAGTAATTTTTCTTTAAAATTTTATTTTTGTTTTACTTTAAGAATAAAATTATTTTAGGATTTAATTAAAGAATTAAAAGAAGTTGATTTACCTAAATTTAACTTGCCAACTTTTCTGTTACACAAAGGCATTATAAATACAAATAGAATAGCAAAAATTTCATCCTAAAGAGAAAACTATTTTGGGCGTCTACTTTCAAGAGAGCAAAATTGTGCTGGACCCCTGTGCACACTTTAAAAACAATCATTAACAGATTGCATCAAACTAGAAACTTCTTCACAGCAAAGGAAATAATTAACAAAGTGAAAAAGACAGCCTACAGCATAGGGAAAATATTTGCAAATCATACATCTGATATGGCGTTAATATTCTTAAATATATAAGAAACTCAATGAACTTGATTGCAAGAAAACATAACCCAGTTAAAAAATAATAAAGGACCTGAATATCCATTTCTAGAAAGAAGGCATACAAGTGGCTAACAGATACATGAAAAGGTACCCACCATCACTAATGATCAGGGAAATGCAAATCAAAACCACAGTGAGATATCATCTCACACCCGTTAGAATGGCTGTTATCAAAAACACAAAAGATAAGAAGTGTTGGCAAGGATGTGAATAAGAGGGAGCCTTTGTATACTGTTGGTGGGAATGTAAATTGATAGAGTCATTATGGAAAACAGAATGGACTGTCTCAAAAAATTAAAAATAGAACTACCATATGATGCAGCAATCCTACACTTTTGGATATATATCCAAGTGAAATGGAATCAGTATGTTGAAGAGCTATCTGCTCTCCCATGTCTACTGCAGCATTATTCTCAATAGCCAAGATGTGAAATCAACTTAAGTGTCATGGTGAATGGATTTTTGAAAACACAGAATATATATGTGTATATATAGTATATATACATATATACACATACAGATACATATGTACACACACACACAATAGAATATTATTCAATCTTAATAAAAGAAGGAAATCCTGTCATTTGTGACAACAGAGATGAACCTAGAGGACATTGTGCTAAGAGAAGTAAACTGCGTGGTATTTGACACAGAAGGACAAATACCACATGATCTCACTTAGGCATGGAATCTAAAAAAGTCAAACTCATGAAAGCAGAGAGTAAAATGGTGGTTGCCAGGGGCTTGAGAGTGATTGCATGGGGAGATGTCAGCCAGAGTTTCAGTTATGCAGGGTGAGTTCTGGAGACCTAAGTGTAGGTCACCTTCAGCGTGGTGACTATAGTTAGTGATGCTGTATGGTATATTTGAAATTTGCCAAGACAGTAGATCTTAAGTGCTCTCACTACACATATTCATACTTAAAAAGGTAACTGTGAAATGATGAATATGTTCATTAGCTTGATGATGGTAATCGTTTCACAGTAAATACATAAATTAAAACATTACATTGTATACCTTGTTGTTTTGTTTTGTTTTATTTTGCTTTGTTTTTGAGATGGAGCATTGCTCTCTTGCCTGGGCTGGAGTGCAGTGGTGTGATCTTGGCTCACTGCAACCTCCACCTCCTGGGTTCAAGCCATTCTCCTGCCTCAGCCTCCCAAGTGGCTGAGATTATAGGCACGTGCCACCACACCCAGCCAATTTTTCTATTTTTAGTAAAGACAAGGTTTCGCTGGTCTCAAACTCCTGACCTCAGGTGATACTCCTTCCTTGGCCTCCTAAAGTGCTGGGATTACAAGTGGGCCACAGTGCCTGGCCTGTGTGCCTTAAGTTTAAAAATTTGTGTCTATTATACTTCAATAAAGCTGGAAAATTTTTAAATAAATAACAGCAGTAATTAACAGATTCAACTGATGACCTTCTGTAGAAGATAATGAGAGCAGAACTGTTAGCAAGACATTTATATGGATATACTATATGTGTCTGCACTGTTTCAGGATTCTCTACTATGATACCTGGGTAAAGGATGACTTCCTTCCTATCATAAAACAGCTTGGACAGCACTGAGAAGATGGTTATGTTCTTTTCTCTTGTTTTAAGAGCCTAGAAAGAGTCTTCGCCAAAGACTCTTTCATTTCCCTTTCTGAAACTCTGTGAGATTGCTCTGTTCTCCAGGACTTAACTTCACGACTGGTCTATTTTTCCTTTCAGAAATTACCATGGTTGACACAGAGATGCCATTCTGGCCCACCAACTTTGGGATCAGCTCTGTGGATCTCTCCGTAATGGACGACCACTCCCACTCCTTTGACATCAAGCCCTTCACTACTGTTGACTTCTCCAGCATTTCTACTCCACACTATGAAGACATTCCATTCACAAGAGCAGATCCGATGGTTGCAGATTATAAGTATGACCTGAAACTTCAAGAGTACCAAAGTATGATGTTTATTTTCATTTTTCAGACTCCTAAGACTGGAATTGGACTAATCTCTCAGTAACCCTGTAATACTCCAGAGACTAGAACTCTAATAGAGAAGGCATTCATCATTGATTTATTCACCCATTTATCCATGAAACATTAGGTATCTATGAAATGCCAGAAAGGAAGTTGGCCCCAGGTCAATCTTGCCTTTCCCGCACTCTATCCTTCCTCTCTTCTTTCCTTTCTTGCTTACTTCCTTCTTAGGAACATTTTCTACCCTGATTACACTGCCATTTGTATCTCTAGCTAAGAGTCCATCATCCACACTTTGAATTCTTTGGGCCCTTGTAAGTTAATAAGTAACAGTTCCAGGTCACCTTATATTATATAACTTATCTTCACTAAATTACTGCTACTACAGTACATTTTTTTCTAATCTGTCCTTTCAGAATTTTATACTGAAACCTACTTTTGAGCACAAATTTGTCTTAACATTGTAGTCTATTGATAAATTTTCATGCCATTAACTAAATTAACATCAAAACATCAGACGCAAGGAAAACAAGAACTGCACTTTTTGAGATAAAATGTATTTCTGTAATGCTGTTTCCTTGATTTTTATCATGTGTGGGCTGACATGCTGGTTTTCCAAAGCCATCACTATGTAACTGGCAACCATTACTTGACAATAAGTAAGAACTTCCTGTATTTCTGGTGGTTTTTAAGATAAATAATATGCTTGGTTATATTTATCTGTGTGGTTTTTAGTTAGAGCCTAATATGGAAATTTAATAGCCATGGGCCTAACTAGTAAAAGGTAGGCCTTACTTCCATTAAGTTCCCCCATCTTCTGTCAAAGATTATTTCACAAACCACATCTTTTGACTGAACACTGATGGTAACCTGGGCTCTTAATTTTCATGCACCTTGAAGCAAGGCATTCACAGCAGTGTTCCTTTTGTGGTTCTTTTGTAAGCGTTGTTCTAAAGTGCTTCTAAAATTTAATATTTAAATAAAATGTATAATTTAATATTGTGATGAATACCAAAGACAGAACATTTGCTAGCAAAATAAGCTTCCTTGTCTCAAAGCCTCTATGTTGTCTGTTAGAGCTGTAGTATTGCAGGGTACTGGGGGTCATAGAACCACAGACTTAATTCCCATTCCCATTTTATACTTACAGGTGAGGCTTAGAGATGTTGTAACTTGCCTGTGATTACACAGCCTTCTTTTTCTTGCCTTAACTCTAGTGTTTTTTTCATGTCCCATTGTGCTTTTATATTGAAACAATACAAATACGGCATGAAGGTATGCTATGGTGGCTTGCCCTTTTGCCTTTTTAGGACTGTTTTCATGGGATAATTATCCTCTCACGTTTCCATACACAGGTGCAATCAAAGTGGAACCTGCATCTCCACCTTATTATTCTGAGAAGACTCAGCTCTACAGTAAGCCTCATGAAGAGGCTTCCAACTCCCTCATGGCAATCGAATGTCGTGTCTGTGGAGATAAAGCTTCTGGGTTCCACTATGGAGTTCATGCTTGTGAAGGATGCAAGGTAGTTTTTTTAAAAAAATCTTTCTTCAAAGAAATTGTTGAAACCTTATTATTTCATTTGAGCAGAACTCTTTCTTTAGGTGGTAAAAAAAAAATGTGAATTTTTTTTCTTCTTAGAAGAGTGTCACCCAGACTGGAGTACAGTGGTACAATCAGAGCACACTGCAGCATTGAGCTCCAGGGCTAGAGTGATCCTCCCACCTCAGCCCCTCAAAGGATGGTGTAATATTTGAGAGCCTAAGAAAGTGGATAAAAGCAGGGCTGCTTTACCCCATGTTCCTTTCTCCAAATTGATTCTTTGAGACACTGATTTAATTTAACCCTTGCAACTTGCAGATTTTTACAAAAAGGTGACTTCTCCAAGGTGTCGTGGCAAGACAGTGATTATCTGGCATCAGGATGCAGATTTCCTGCATTCCCTAGTTGTTTATTTATTTATTTTTTTGCTGTACCACGTAATATTATATATACACAAGATTTTACATATTGTCTGTATATACATGTCTTTGGATCCCTAGAGCAATCCTATAAGGTTGGGCTTCTTTATGGCCACATTACAGATGTAGAAATTAGAAGTTTATAAGACTTGCCAAGGTCATCCCTTAGTAAATGGCAGCCCTCAGTCTAGACTCCGACTCCTTAGGTGGTATTTGGTCTCAAAGCAGTGTCTCATGTTTCCTTATTCCAGCATCAGTGTGAGCCACATACATGGACAGGCAAGGAGGTATAACAGTGTGGGAAAGGAGATACTATTTCTCCTCACCTCTTTCCTTTGCGAAAAGGGTATTTTGAAAAATTTAGACATTTAGTAATATATTGCTTAATCATTAAGAAAATATGTGAATCCACATATATTTTGATATGCAGTCTTTTAAGATATTTTTAGAATATGCAATGAAAAAATAGTACTAATTATATATTCATTGCACATAATAAACTGTTCATAAATATTTACCTTATAAAATAAGCACCTGCTTAGGCTTTTTATTCAACATAAAGATACGGAACAGCAGTTAGGAAAGAGTTAGGACATCTTGGCTCCTTAATGGATGATGGGCTGAAAAAGAAAACTGATTTTTATTGAATTCTTACTACATGCCGGATACTGTGTGAGGTAACGTTTTCATACATCAGTATTTTACCACATCCTACCCAGGTTTCTCATCTATAAAATGATTGTGGCTGGGTGTGGTGGCTCACGCCTATAATCCCAACACTTTGGGAGGCCAAGACAGGAGGATCTCTTGAGCCCAGGGGTTCAAGACCAGTCTGGGCAGCATAGCAAGATACCATCCCTACAAAATTTTTTAAAATTAGCCAGACACGGTGGCATATACCTGTAGTCCCACCTTCTCTGGAGGCTTAAGTAAGAGGATCACTTGATCCCCAAGACTGCAGTGAGCTGTGATTGCACCACTGCACTCCAGCCTGGGTCACAAAAGCAAGACCCTAACTCCAAAAAAATAAATAAAAATAAAATGATCACACTGATTTAGATGATCTTAAAGTTCCTTCAATTCAAATAGTTTTTACTCTAAAGGTAACCTAATATAATGAAAAGGGACAAATCAGAGGTCAGCTTTCCAAAGTCACTAGCCAGTCACATATACACTGTATCCCTCAGGCCCACCATGTGTAAAACGACTTGGTTAGATTGACTACGCAAGGTCTTATTCGTCTCTAAGATCTGTAATTTCAAAATGACACTTTGAAATACTCCTGGCAAGAGATACTTTCATTGAAAACACTAAAACCCATTCATTCTGTAATTTAAACCAAATTAAAATATTTATGACCTTATATGAAATCATTGTATTAAGTCAGTTTTCTAAGATCTTGATAAGAACATGTCATTTTATTGAGTTAGATTTTTTATTGAGTGTTTTTGTAGTTTTATTGAGTTTTATTGTTAGATTTAATGAGTTAGAGTTTATTTTTACTGAGTTAGGTACCATTTTTGAGTGAGTAAATTGTTGCTAAATTCTGAGCCACATTTATGTGAAGAAACCATTCTGTTTAGGTCATGCTGATAATTTACAACTGCAAACAAATAAAAACAGCATGATTGGTTTAGGTTTCCACAATAAGTTATTGTTTTTTATGGGCTAGCAAAGCACTTAGAAAACTAAAACCTTTAAGCAAATAGTTCCGCCATAATCCTATTAGTCACAAATTTGTGGAAAGCTAACATTATTGAGAACAGCTGAAAATGGAAATACAGGAACATTGTCAGTAGTTGGTTATAGGAATAAATCTAAGTTCTGAGGGCACTAAAACTTAGAAGCAAGCAGGGAAGAAGAGTAGCAAAAAGAGAAACGAGAAGAGGAAATCCAAGTGCCTTCAAGTTAGGATGAGAAAGGGTAGAAGGCAGAGAGGAAGGAAGAACACTTAATGAAACCTGAAGACTCTAGGGGAGTCCTTAACCTAACATAGATTAAAAAACAAATGAAGAAAGCTAAGAGTATTGTGTACTAACCTGCAGTAATTCGCAAACCATCCAAACTGTGGATTCCAGAATTCCTAGACTAAAATGTAAAGAAAGTTTTACTCACTTGGGAAGGGAAAATAGACATCTACACATTTTAAAGTTAAGAATAAGGAAAACATTATTCTTGGAAAATGTAAACATTTAGTAATATACTACTTAATATTTAAAAAATGTGAATCCACTTACCTTTCCATGTACAGTCTTTTAAAATTATTTAATATGTTCAATGAATAAAATAGTGTTTATTTATTATATACTCATTGCACAGAATAAATTGTTCATAAATATTTACATTATAAAATAAACCCTGCCTCGGTTGGGGTTTTTATTTGGTGTAAAGATTAAGAACAGCAGTTAGGAAAGAATCAGAACATCTTGGTTCCTAAATAGATGATGGGTTGAAAAAGGAAACTTTTTCTTGAAGTCTTATTCTGATTTTTATTGAATTCTTACTATGTACCAGATATTGTATGAGGTACATTTACATACATCATTATTTAACCACATCCTATTCAGGTTTTCTCATCTATAAAATGATTCAGATGATATTGGTAGTATGTGGTTACATAATGAAACAATATCATTTGGCTTCTTCTGGTATACATTAGCAGTTCCCAAAGTGTGGTCTGGGGCTTGGGCCCTTTCAAGGCATCCATGAAGTTGAAACTATATTCATAATAATGATTTTTATTACCTTTTTCACTCTCATTCTGTGTATGTGGAGTGTTCTGGAAGCTACGTGATGTAGGATGATGATATAACTCTGGTGGCTAATGGAATGTTTGCTTGTATGTTCTTGTATATAATAATTTCTCAGTTGTACTTTTTAGTGTGATAAATGTCAATAATGATAGCCCAAATAAACAAAAGCTCTTTGGGGTCTTCTATAATTTTAAAAAGAGTAAAGGGGTCTTACAGCCATAAAGCCTTCAGCCTCATTCTGAAGAAATGCAGTTACTTATTAGTTGCTGCTTAGGAACTAAACAAAATTGCTGCCACATTCTGAATACTGCTGCATTAGACCAGTGGCTGTCAGTAATCAAAAACATCCCCTTAGCTTATCAGCAATACACAACCAAAAGCCAGGAAAATGGAATTAGCAAATGTGTTTAACTCATCTGCATGTATTTTCTGAGAGTTTTTTTGGCAGCTTCAGATTTGCTGTTGCAGTAGAATGTGGGTTATATTAATAATTAAAATACAGTTGACCACAAAGCTGCAAGCTAATTTATGGACAGAAAAGAATAGTGAAACACAGCATAAAACAACTGTTGGTAGGTCTTCTTAAACAGTTTTACAATGTAAATGGAACAGGTTTATATTAGTGATTCTTGCTAAAATTTGGTCAGACATATGGGAATGAATAGATTGGACTTGAATTAAGATGAAATAGTGACAGATTCTTGGGTGTGTTAATATTGCAAACTTATATAAAATAAAACCTTTAGCAACTGAAAGATATGTATACTTTAGAGCTTGGAAAGCTATCATTTATTTGTTGTTTACATGTTGGACACATTTGTTTTCTTTAGTAAGTTCCATCCTATTTTTTATCTTTTGTGAAAGATCATTTTAGAACCATAGGCATACCTAAAGATACAAGTAAATACAATCTACCACATAATACGATGTAATCTACGTTTGTATTTCTGTATACAAAAGAATGTCGTCTGCTTGTTAGCCACTTGTATGTCTATTCATCCCTACTTCAGAAAGAGTTTTAATTCAGACCACTTTTTGGGAAAGCCTAGTGCAAGCCCCACACAGGGCTGTTAATCTCATTGTAAAAATCAACACCATTCTGAGGTCTCATTGTCCCTGATGTTTTGTTAAAACTAAAGCAATTAAGGAGAGGCCAGAGAAAAGTTTTCAAATGATTGAAAAATACATATCACCTTCTAACAGACAAGTGTGCAGACATTAGAATAAATAATATATACACAAAACAATTTTCTGAAATGGTGACTGATGCATTTCCAACATACTATGTCACAGACTTCATGATCATCAGAAGAGTAAATTGTTGAAAATGCATTGTTCTGTGGCCTCTGATATAATAACGAACAGTGTTGTCAGAGTGTTTCTTCATCAGTAATATGAAGAAAATTTGGAGAAGCCGGCCTTGTTCTATAAATCAATAAATAATTCTACAGAAAAGCACTTGGTAATATCTTTACATCTTCCTCTCTAGATTCCTTGAGTCAAATGACAAGAAAACACTTAGATATCATTAACTCATTGTGAAAAAAAAAAAAAAAAGTAAAAGCAAGTTCCAAAGTACATGCTAAGATCTGTGTGTTCAGTTCAGGATTTTATTAACATATACAGTGCATAATGTTCAGAGTGGTTATTCATTGAAGGACCTTAGATCATCACAAAAAATGTAATACACTTTTCAAAGGCATCAGCTGAGGAATCAAGTCAGAAATTTCCATTATAAGGATTAAACTGAACAATTCTCTTATCAAAAAGCCTTCGTCTCCTATCCATGCCAAATAACTGAGTACTCTCTGAGCCATCCAGCGGTCAGTTAGCCAAGTAGCATTTTCACCCACAAATATTAGTCCAAAAAAAGTAAGAATCAAAAGAGAAGTCAAGGAATATCATAAAATAGCTATGATCACAATGGCAAACATCAAAATTTTCACCAACATTTATCAGTGAGAATGTTTTATACATTATACATTAGCATTCTATTCATCTGTGAAAAAAGAAAAAAACCTTTTTCATATCTGTAGGTCCTCAGAACCCTTTGAGAATTAAAGAGGCTTCAACTGCCAGCAGATTCTACATTGGGCATATTCTTTAAGACATTGCTGATCTCACGAGAGATAGAGAAAACTCTCCAAAACAGCATCACTGAAACAGAATGAAACAAACCCTCAGTTCTGAGCTGTGAGCTGCAGGCACACTTAGCAGGTCAGGGTTTTCCCCATGATAGATGCCCAGAGAGGTACAGGGGTGAGCATTACCCCAAAGGCAGATGCCTATAGCAGTTTTCTGAGCAATCTGTGAGAAGGAGCTAAGTGTAGGGCTTCTGAATTAAGCCAGGATTCTCAAGAGTGTCTGAAATAGGACCGGGCGCGGTGGCTCACGCCTGTAATCCCAGCACTTTGGGAGGCCGAGATGGGTGGATCACGAGGTCAAGAGATCGAGACAATCCTGGTCAACATGGTGAAACTCCATCTCTACTAAAAATACAAAAATTAGCCGGGCATGGTGGCGCACACCTGTAGTCCCAGCTACTTGGGAGGCTGAGGCAGGACAATTGCTTGAACCCAGGAGACGGAGGATGCCGTAAACCAAGATCGCGCCATTGCACTCCAGCCTGGGTAACAAGAGCAAAACCCCCTCTCAAAAAAAAAAAAAAAAAAAGAGTGTCTGAAATAGTAATAAGTCAGTAGCACCCCTGGCTACTGAATTCCTAATTTAGACCTTGTAGGAGTCCCCCAGTTTAAGGTCAAGAAATGAGTTCCAAATAAATATCAGCAAGCATGTGAGAAGGTAATCACCTTGAATGACATTCATCAAAAACAGGAAGAGGGATACAGACTCCCCACTCATCCCCTACCCTTGGAAAGCAGAAATTGGGATTGCCTGATACAGAATATAAAACAGCTGTTCTGAATTATTTAAAGAAAGAGGGCATAGGCTTGCAACAATAAACTATTAGGAATGTCCAGGATGATTTGAAAACCAAGTGAAAAAAACCAAGTGAAGCTTCTAAAGTTAAAAAATATGATTACTGAAACAAAAATTCATTGAAAGGGTTAGATAGCTTACTGGACACAGCAGAAGAAAAACCTGAAACCAAAAGAGATATGCAAAGAAATTGCCAAGAATGAAACCAACAATGTCTTAAAGAATATGTCCTATCCAGGGTCTGCTGGAATTTGAAGGCTTTTAGTTCTTGAAGAGTTTGTAGGATCTTTGAATGTTAAAAATGTATGTCTTCTTTACTGATCAATAGAAGAGTAAAGTGCAGAACTGTTCTTACTAATGAACTTTGGTGAGAACTGTTTGTTTTTGCTTTTGCCAGTGTTATCATATATTTTCATGTTATTTTGCTTCTGTTCTGATTTTTGACAATATTAGTGAATAAGTAGTGAGAAGAAGATGGAAAACATAAAAGATACATTCAGAAATGTGAAGGCTAGAATAAGAAAATCTACTACCTATCTAGCTGGAGTCCAGTACTGATGAACAGATGAAGCCAAAGCTGTGAGGCAGAAACAACACGTCCAAGAAGATAAATGAAAAGAAATTCATGCCCAGACACACTGCAGTAAGTCTGCTGAATATTAAAGACAGAGAGTATAAAAGCAACCAAAGAGAAAAGGTAGATCACCTTAGAAGTAAATTGACAAGAGCCTTTTCAACAGCAAAGTAACAGCAGAAGGATACTAGAATTCAAAGTATTTAGAGAAAGTAACTGAGTACTCAGTAATCTCTCAAGAATGGGAGTGAGCCGTGCATAGTGGCACACGTCTGTAATCCCAGCCCTTTGGAAGGCCAAGGTGGCTGGATCACTTGGGGCCAGGAGTTCAAGACTGGCCTGGCCAACATGGCGAAACCCCATCTCTACTAAAAATACAAAAAAAAAAAAAAAAAATTAGCCAGGTATGGTGTTGCACGCCTGTAATCTCAGCTACTCAGAAGGCTGAGGCCCAAGAATCGCTTGAACCCGGGAGGCGGAGGTTGCAGTGAGCCTCTCATAGCACCACTGCACTACAGCCTGAGCAACAGAGTGACACTTTGTCTCAAAACAAAAATGAATGAGAGTGAAATGAAAATGTCTATGGGTTGAAAAAACAAAAACACTGAAAAAAGTACATTTCAAGGATAGTAAGCCAAACAGAGGAGAAGATATTTAAACATCTGTAACAGACAAAAGATGAATATCTATCCATATTTTTTTAAATGTCTCAAATTCAATTTTAAGGAAAAGACAGAAACTGGGAAGTGAAAAGCCAGGGACGTACAAATGGAGATTTACATTCAGTTTTATACATTTTAGACTGTCAAAAATTAAGTAGTCTGACAACACCAAATGTGGAAGAAACTTGAACTTTCATAAAGCACTTGTAGGAGTATAAATTGATAGCCACTTTGCAAAGCAATTTGGCATTATCTTTTAAAATTTAATATTTACATATTATACAATCCAGAAATGCCACTCCTAGGTAACTCATACATATACATCTTAAAACATTTACAGGAATATTTAGATAAACACTTCTCATAGTAGCAAAAAATTGACATTTCAAAGGTCCATCTGCATACAAATAGGTTAATAAATTATAATATAGTCATACAATGGAATATTATATAATGAAAATGAATAAATTCACAGTCTTTGACCAAAAAGAAATTCAGTCTTTGACCAAAAAGAGCGTAAATTTTAGAAACCTAATACCAAATTTTATTAGTGTCTCCAAAACTACATATAGTAAAATATCACTTAATAAAGCCTCAAAACAAGCAAAATTATACAGTATATTATTTTGTTTTACATAGCAGGTGATAAAACTGTATTTTCCTACTTTTTTTGAGACAGTGTCTCACTCTGTTGCCCAGACTGGAGTGCAATGGCACGATCATGGCTTGGCTTACTGCAGCTTTGACCTCCTGGGCTCAGGTGATCCTTCCATCTCAGCCTCCAGAGTGGTAGCTGGGACTACAGGTGTGTGCCACCACACCTGGCTAAGTTTTTTGTATTATTTTTATAGAGACAGGGTTTCACCTTTTTTGCCCAGGCTAGTCTAGAACTCCTGGACTCAAGCGATCCATCTGTCTTAGTCTGTCAAAATGATGGGATCAAAGGTGTGAGCCACTGCACTCAGACTGTATTTCTTAAAGATCAAGGAAACGATAAACACAAAATTGAGAATAATGATTACTTTGTCAAGCCTATTGCCTTTGTAACATCTCAGTCACAGTTTGGAGTCACAAACTACCAGAGATGGAAGTGCTTTCTCATTTTACAGTTGAAAAAGGTGAGGCCCGGAAAGGAAGTTACATGACATCTGTATTAATTTCACAGATTTTAACGGAGCACTATCATAGGCATTTGGACTCCATCCAAGGGTATAAGAGACTATTCCTGCCCCTGAGGAGCTCATAATTTTAATTGAGCAGTAAGGGAGAGGCAGAAAATAAACACTTAAACAATAATAAGTAAACCCTGTGGTGTGTTAGAAAATCGTAAGTGCTACTGGAAAGAAGAAAAACTAGAACAGAGTAAAGAGGATCAAGAGTTCCAGAAGAGAGGTGTGGGAAAGGCCACGGTATTAAATAGGTTGGCCTAGCCCCATTGAGAAGGTGAGATGCAAAACTTGAAGGCGATGAAGAAAATAGGCAAGTGTGTATTTACAGAAAGCTTTCCACTTGAGGAAAGAAGGAAGTCAAGAGTGATTTCAATGATTTTGGCTTGAGAAGCTGGGAGGATGGAGTTGCAACTGTTGAGATGGAGAAAGCCGCAAATGAAGTGAGTTTGTAGGGGAGAGTCAGGACTTCAGTTTGGACAGGCTAGCTTAGAGATGGCAATTAATTATTTAAGTGAAGCTGTCAAGTAATCGGTAGAACATACTCATCCAGAGTTCAAAATGGAAATTTGGTGAAAGTGAAAATGCACATCAGTGACCAAAGCAATACTCATGCAGTGTTTTTTGCACCAAACAGGGCCAGATACATTTGAAATAATTAGCAATTAAGTTTTATGAAGATGAACACAGAAATGAATAGGAATATGAAGAACCAAAAAAATGAAGTCAGTAAACATGTCCAATTTGATTTTTTTCCAGCACTTTCCTAAAGATATAAATATAGCAGAATATTCAGTTGGCTTCAAATTGACATATTTGCCACTTTGAGATAGCAGTGGATTTTGTGAGGATTTATCTGATTACTTGTCATGTTATTTCCCGTAGTCTCTTTCTGTCTGTAAGCCACAACAATGATGGGGCACACTTTTAACAACATAAATAGTGAAACAAATTCTGCAGGAAATTATGCAACATAGAGAATTCCAAAAAAAAATTATCCACATGTGGATTTTTATTGGCCCTGATCATGTTTTAGAATGAAATGATTATAACTTTGCCAGACTGCTTAGCACAGTTACAAAGGTTGGGGCATGCTGTTGGAATGATTTGCAGAGAGACTGAACTGATTACATGGTGTTTTATTTGTGTTACATTAAATCCAGAGCACTTTTTAGAGCATGCTGAAAACCAAATGTAGAGCCAAGATCCAATGAAAGCCGTCAGCTGGATGTGTTTATTAGAGAAAAAAAAAAAAAAAAAAAAAAAAGGATCTGGAGATTCTCTGGTTCTTTATTTAATAGTAAAGAAAATTTAGTTCCAGAGAGGTTAAGTGACTTGTCTAAAGTCATCAGTAACAGAATGTGTCAAGAACCTGCCTTTTCTGATTCCTAGGCCAGTATTCCTTTAGCCATAGGCTGCTGCTTCCATGTGTCACAAAGACTTAAAATTTGCTTCTTTTTTTTTTAAAATATCCATTTGCAGGGTTTCTTCCGGAGGACAATCAGATTGAAGCTTATCTATGACAGGTGTGACCTTAACTGTCGGATCCACAAAAAAAGTAGAAATAAATGTCAGTACTGTCGGTTTCAGAAATGCCTTGCAGTAGGGATGTCTCATAATGGTAAGCGAACAGTCATCACTGTATACTTTATTATTGTCATTATAGCTGCCAGATCAGTGGACACTAAGACCATTGCCAAAAGTGTGCACAGTTTTTCAACCAAATGCCAGAATTTAGAATATTGCATGCTGATAAAACATTTCTCATTTAGGTCAGTGTTTATAAGGCTTTTACTATAGAACCCTTCTCTCTGTGGTTGGACATCAGCCATGAGGAGAGAAGAGACCTGAAAATCGGGGATGATGGGAAAAACTTTAGTGTTTTAGAATAAATATAATGATCATTGCGATTAATTTTTATATTGCTTCAATACGTTGAAAACAGAATTACATTTTACTTATGTGTATCGGTAGTGTGTTTCTACTTTAAGAAAATCCTGAAGATGTCTGCGTCTGGAACTTTAAGTGCGAGAATTTAGACTCATTCATCTTTTTTTTTTTTTTTTTTTTCTTGCTCTTTATTATGCAAAGAGGAACATTCCTTTCCTTCACTTCAAGAAACATCCATGAGTTGTGGAAAGGGGAAAACAAAGTATTTTATAGTTCTGAAAAACTTCAATGCCATAGAAACATAAGAGAATAAAACTTTTTACTTTTGAAATCTGTATCTAAAGTTAAGCTTATGACTTTGGGTGTCAAGGGAAATCATATAGAAGACCTGAGAAAAGACCTATGTTTTCATGATCTGTGGAACTAACTCAGTAAAGTCCTAGAGAACAACATGGTTGAAAAAACAACTCTTGATCACCATGTGGTTCTGATTGGTTGCCTGGCTGACAAAATAAATTTTAGGTGTAACTTGATAGTATTATATTTGTCAAGTATTAATCAGTTCTTTCGATGCACTCGAGAAATTAAAAAATGTCAACATGATCAAATTAAAGTTGAAGTTTCATTTCATCTGCTATCCTATTTTTTTCTTTCTTTTGCTTTCATCTCTCTCAAAACTGATCTAGTAAGAAGATAATCTCTGAAGTCAGTCTTCATCTACATGGACTCTAAAGCATCTGAGAAAATTAAATTTTTGTTCTATCATGTAGATGTTTGGTTTTCACCGTGGAAACCATCAAGATATTTGAGAATCACTCATTGATTAATAACCTACCCTTTAAAAATAGTTCATTACTGTGGGTCAGTTCCTCTAACGGCAAGAATGTATTTTGAATTGAGCTATCAACAGTACTGAACAAGATGGAAATTTGGTCCAACTTTCCTCAACAATTGACTACATCTGCTATATACAACTGCAGTCATGGATTGCAAAATAATTTGCTGGTTCAGTTCCATCAGTTTCCTTTTATTTCAGACCTCATAAAACATAAGGGCAAGTTTCCAAGTCAAGAGTTATATTTTAGGTGATGCAATCAAGTTGCAATAAACTTATTTCATCTTTATGAAGAAATCATTGACTTTGAGGTCATCATCACTGAGACAGCCTAGGAAAGCATGCCAGTTCCGCTTTTAACACTGTTTTTTGCCTATTAAAAATTTCACACATTCATGTAAAATATAATTCCTGTTACTTATTGCCAGTGCATACATTGATGTAAAATATATTTTCTATTGCTTACAAGCATTGTGTATGTTTATATAACTTATCCAATTGCGTATTGCTTACAGGCAAATATTATTTAAAATCCAACCTATGCAGTATGGATGGTATAATTTTCTCCTCCCATAAAAGTCAAAGAAAGCTATCATAAACTTGATAGGTCATCTTCTGACTTCATATGACTATTTGTTTTATTTCTAGAGAGAGTCAATCTTGTTAGGGAGTGTTCAGTTCTAGTGAAAGCAAGAAAATGCAGGAATTAAGTGTCATGATATCAGAGATTTAGGCAGTTCAACACTTTAAAAATTGCAAACATGACTAAGAAAACCTCAGAGGTTTTTTGGGAGTTTGCTGCAAAGAAAAGAAAACATCAGGCTAACAACAAGGTTTTGTTTGGTTTTGCCTGTTCGCTGGATGAAGAAAACATTTCTAAATACAAAGTTTTCTAGGAGGTTGAGTTACTATTTAAAATCCATTGCTTTGACCAATTTGAAGCTAACAGGGTTTTCATTCATATAGAATGCCTTTTTAAGTTATCAAAAGAGCCTCCGAGTATTATACAAAAATGAGCACCCAGCTGTTTTCACTATGTGCAAGAAAACATGAACGTCCCCCCAAAGCAAATGTACTCCATTCTCTGTTAACTGTATTTCTGCTCTCTGATCTCTGATTAGTCTGATTGATGAATATAACTTCCCCTTTGGCCATGCACTCACAGCTTTGAAGGAGGCTTCTGAAGGAACCCATAGGGAACCCTAAGGGTTCTTGATAATATTGTTGGATAGTCACTGAAATCAGTGATCACTATGTCCTTGCACTTTTCAAAACTCTATGATTTTGTGTAATGCAACAGCCTAACTCACTGGATTTTTCACTTTTTAGTCAGCTATTCTGTGCCTTATGGTGTTCCAGCCTTCTCAAATATGTAGGCACCTGGCATGTCCATTGCCTGAATTTAAAAGTTTTCACCTATATGCTTTGGTGCCATAAAAATAAAAATATAATTTATATACCTGAATCAGGTCTATGTGTTCTGATCAATTGCTCAGCAATTTTGGGCAGTTGGTTTGATGGTTATGTGGTAATGTAGCCCTGGAGAAGAAATCCAGAGCCTCTGGGCTAGAGAAAGTATAAATGGCATATTAGGCTTTGTAGGGTTACAGCTCTTCAGAAGGAACTTTCATTTTCATTGGGACACATCGCTTGCATGTTGTAGAAGAACATCATTTCAGAATTCTTCCAGTTAGAAACATAGTTTCTCAAATATTCACTTTCAGCATTGGATAGAAAAAGTACCCAGGTTGATTGATATGCTTTAGAATTATGTTTTTTTTTTCCTGCGAGTAATGAAAGTAAACATACCTTCTTAATTATTTTGGTTTGTTTTTTTTTTTTTTTTTTTTTTTTTTTTTTTTTGAGACAGAGTTTTGCTCTTGTTACCCAGGCTGGGGTGCAATGGCGCGATCTCGGCTTGCCGCAACCTCCGCCTCCTGGGTTCAGGCAATTCTCCTGCCTCAGCCTCCTGAGTAGCTGGGATTACAGGCACGCACCACCATGCCCAGCTAATTTTTTGTAGCTTTAGTAGAGACGGGGTTTTACCATGTTGACCAGGATGGTCTCAATCTCTTGACCTTGTGATCCACCCACCTCGGCCTCCCAAAGTGCTGGGATTACAGGCTTGAGCCACTGCACCCGGCCCTATTTTGGTCTTTTAACAACCCATCATTTCTAGACCATGGGTTAATTCCACCAGTTGCTCAGAAGTCTTCCTGAGTCATCTTAAGCACAATCAATTCACTAGTGTGTCTAGACACTGCCCTTAGAGGAAAGCTCAAAATGAAAATGAAGCAGAAATACAGACCTGCTTCCTAGGCCACTCAGAGGTGCATGTACCTTACTAAGTGATGTTGCAACAACTACTCTTTGTTAGTGAAGCTGGTGTCTGCAGAATCTTGATAAAAAGACTCATGAATAATGTTGCTTCTTTAGTCAGATGGGCTCTTGCATGCATTTTTATGGTTTTTCAAAGTAGGTTTTTTGTTTTTTGTTTTTTTGAGACAAAGTCTCTCTGTTGCCAGGCTGGAATGTAGTGGTGCAATCTCGGCTCACCGTAACCTCTGACTCCCTGGTTCAAGCGATTCTCCTGCCTCAGACTCCCAAGTAGCTGGGATTACAGGCACATGCCATCACGCCCAGCTAATTTTTTGCATTTTTAGTAGAGACGGGGTTTCACCATGTTGGATGGTCTCTATCTTCTGACCTCGTGATCCACCTGCCTTGGCTTCCCTAAGTGCTGAGATTACAGGTGTGAGCCACTGCACCTGGTGTCATTTTGTTTTAAAGTCTTGTTGTCAAGTCCTTGACAGTAATCACATTTTAAAAATATGTCTTCTTTATTTTTATTTTTATTATTATTATTATTATTATTATTATTATTATTATTATTATTTGAGACTGAGTCTCACTCTGTTGCCCAGGCTGGAGTGCAACGGCACAATCTTGGCTCACTGCAACCTCTGCCTCCCAGGTTCAAAAGATTCTCCTGCCCCAGCCTCCTGAGTAGCTGGGACTACAGGTGCCTGCCACCATGCCCTGCTAATTTTTGTATTTTTAGTAGAGACAGGGTTTTACCATGTTAGGCAGTCTGGTCTCGAACTCCTCACCTCAGGTGATCCACCCACCTTGGACTTCCAAAGTGCTAGGATTACAGGTGTGAGCCACCACGCCAGCCTTGTCCTCTTTATTTTTAATAAAATTATTTAGTCATTAAGAATTTCAACTAGTGGGCCAGGCATGGTGGCTCATGCCTATAATCCCAGCACTTTGGAAAGCTGAGGTCAGAGGACCACTTGAGCTCAGGAGTTCGAGACCAGCCCGGGCAACATGGCGAGACCCCATCTGTACTAAAAATACAAAAAATTAGTTGGGCGTGCTGGCATACGCCTGTGGTTCTAGCTACTCGAGAGGCTGGAGTGGGAAAATCGCTTTAGCCCAGGGTGCAGAGGTTGCAGTAAGCCATGATCATACCACTGCACTCCAGCATGGGTCACAGAGACAGACCCTGTCTCAGAAAAAAGAAAAAAAAAAAAAGGAATTTTGACTAGTGAATAATTCATATTCAGAGCTACTTTTAATGTGTGAACTAAATAATACAATAGTAAGTTTATGCTAACTACATTTTTTATTTTTAAATTTTTATGTATTTATTATTACTATTTTTTTTTTTAGAGATGGAGTCTCACTATGTTGCTTAGGCTGGGCTTACCTCAGCATCTGGAGTTGCTGAAACTATAGGCATGTGGCACTGTACCTAAGCTATTTAAGAAAATAGAGAAGAATTGACATGTTATTTATGAGTCATTCAGTTAGGTTTTTCTCTTTAACATTGAGATTTGGTTAAAAATGTTTTTCATAAATTTAAGAACTAGTGAAATCTTAGCTTTGCTGACTAGGATGTCTTATGATATAAATGAGAGGGAGTTTTTAATTTTTTAAAAAAACCTGACAACTTTAAAAATAAATTCTCAGTGGCTTCAAAAATCCAAAAAAATGATTTCACAAATTTTTGCAACCCTCAACATTTTTAAGATAGTTCTCTCAGTGCCTTGCAAACAGCCGCTCTAGAGTATATTGAGAAAAAGTCTGAATGGCAAATAGATTTCAACTTTATTCCTTTTTTCCTTTAGTCTTCTTAGTTGTTTAAAGAAAAATTACCCAAATGTTACCTTTAAGAAAAGGTAACAAAGTCCTAATGCATGCGGCAGTACGTGGCTGCTCCTGCCGCCCTGTCCCTCTACCCTGCGTGGACTCCAGAACCATCCATGTTGGAGCCCACCTCCTTTCCCCAGCCCTGCCCACTTTCCACTTACATTTCACAAACTCTGCACTTTGCTGGAAAATGGCTTATGCTTGGATGCCTCTAGGCCTCTGTTGATGTGTCTGTCTGTTCCTTGTGGAAAGTCTACCTGACATTCAAGGCTGCATTCAAATGCCTTCCTTCCCATCAGACTTTTCTGATTCCCTGCTCTTGCTTTTCTGTGTGTTTCATACCTTCCTGTGATACCACATTGTGCCTTAAAAAGCAAGAGAGTGATAAAATATATATTACCAAAAAAAAAAAAATACTGATAGCAGTAAATATGATAGAGAAAATACTGGAATTGGGAAATCCATCAGAAGACCAATGCAATATTAGAAAATAAGAAATTGAGAAGGGTAAGAAGAAGGGAAATTGAGATAAATACCAGAGCAGTGACCACTGAATAAAAGTGCCTGAAGGGAGAGAGGTGGTCAAAGATTATTTAGGGTTGTAGTTTCAGTGATAGAATGAATTAACCAAGAAAGGAATACAGGAAGAAGAGCCAGTTTGGAGGAGAGATTTTTAAATTCAATTTTATGTTGTGTTAGAGGGGCCTATGAAGTATCCAGCATCCACATATAAAGGAATATAGGAGGTCATGAAAAATAAGGCTCCAAATTTCAGTAAAGAGAGAGCAGGAATCATCAGCACCTGTTGTAGGTTAGTGAGTCAAACTAGGAACCACAGAATACAAGCTGAGGGAGAGGCACCGTCAGAGAGATCTGAAGAGCAGCTGGCAGAAAGTCAGAGGACCCAGAACAGCAAGAACCAGGACAAAAAAAATTAAGAGGGTGGAGCTGGTCACAGTGTTAAAGGCTGGGAGAATGCCGGAGAGCTCAAGTCTATTGAGAACTTAGGAGAGGCCCTTAGTTCTGGCCACGAGAAAAGCATTCAGGACTTTTACAAAGTTTCGGTAAATCCCAGTGAGTCCAAAGCTAGATTGCAGTAGATCTTAAAGTAAATAGAAAGTGACAAACACAGAGTGAAAACAACTGTTTCAGTAAGTTCAGTGGTGGAGGAAAGATAGCTTAAAGAGGAAGTAATAGTAAAGTCAGAACCTTAAACACCTTCCTGGGCAGAAAGGCCAGAGCCAGTACAGAGAGGTACACTAGAGAGAGACTCATCGTGTAATGTATCCAGTCTCTCCTATCAGACATGTCCTTCCCGTCCTTTCCCCCAGCCCCGTCTGTGTAGCACAGTCTTTCATCAAACAAGTGCTCAGTGAATGAATTAAAGCATGTCAGGTAAGACTTCAGAAAATTGGAG